ACGCTTGCAAGCTATCTCTCCCCATCCTCAGCATCGTCCCTGAAGGCCCTGAAGCTTCACACCAGGCCCGTTAGGCTGACATCGAGTCTGGTTGGGAAAGCTTATATGGCAGAAGGTCAGGCTGTCGCATGTTTGCACACCATGGCGGTGTTACAAGCATACCAGGCTGACCTGTTCAGGTACCTGGATGACAGGGAGGAGGAGGAATCCGACGTAGTATCTGAACTGCGTCGGGCAACAGATTTGTCCCTCTGGGCCACCAAAGAAACGGCCAGAGCTAAATCGGCCGTTCAATGGCAGCGATGGTGGCCACAGAATGGCATCTGTGGTTGAATCTGTCTGAAATACAAGATAAGGACAGATTCTTCCTCCTAGGCGCCCCGCTATCGCCCTCTGGCCTTTTCGGCAACGCAGCCAACAAAGCTGTCGTCGATAGGTTTCAGGAGGCGAAGAAGCAAGCGGCGGCGTTCCAACGTTTCCTCCCCCGTCGCTCCCAGGCCCATGGGGCTGCTGAGAGGGAGCAGCCCAAGCCTTCAAGCTCCTCATATCGCCAATCTCAAAACAGAGCGTTGCAACCCTCACCCCTCCACAGAAGATCAGGGGTCGGGGCGTCGCTCTCAGTCGGGGTCTTCTAGACCAAAAACAGATCTGCGGACCGTTATTTTGTCTAAGAGGACCTCGGTTAAACGGTCCTACCATTGTCAGGTCCTTGAGGGCAGCCCCACCTGGGGAGGAAAGGATAACACCGCCCGGCAACGGTACGGCACGGGAGAGCTCGCCCCCTCAAGTGAAGAGGCTACAGCAGTCAGGTCGGTTGTTCCCTGCCGGTCATCCGCTTCAGGGCACCGAACTGGCTCCTCTAATAAAACCAGAGGCCAGCCTCGAGAGGCTGGTTTCCATCCTCCCTCAACACTGGAAGTTCCTGAGGTTTGCTTTCAGGGGTGAAGCATACCAAAAATCGAGTTCTTCCCTTTGGCCTGTCACTTTCACCCCGCACTTTCACGAAGTGTGTGGATGCAGCTTTGGCTCCTTGCGACTCCAGGGCATCCGCATACTCAATTACATCGACGACTGGTTGATACTAGCTCGATCGGAGCAGATGGCGGCTCGGCATCGAGATGTCGTCCTCGCCCATATGAGAGAGCTGGGGTTATCTAAATCAGGGGGCAGATATCCTGTCGAGACAGGGGCTGAGGCCCGGGGGATGGAGACTCCACCCCGAGGTGGTGGAGCTCCTCTGGAGGGAATTTGGCCAGGCGGAAGTGGATCTATTTGCGTCGCAGGAAACGACACACTGCCCACTCTGGTTCTCCCTCACGCATCCAGCTCCACTGGGGCTGGATGCCATGATACAGACGTGGCCGAGGCTTCGTCTGTACGCTTTTCCCCCGATCGCTCTGCTCCTGGGAGTTCGGGAGAGAGTACGCCGGGATGGGGTCCGTCTGTTGCTAGTAGCCCCGTTCTGGCCGGCCCGAGTATGGTTCTCGGACCTGGTGTCCCTCCTCGACTTCCTCTCTCAGGCGGGGGGTTCTTCACCCCCGCCCGGAGTTATGGAAGTTGTGGACCTGGCCCCTGAGGGGGGCACAGCTCCTAGCATCTGGTCTCTCAACTGAGGTTGTTGAGACTATACTCCAGTCCAGAGCTCCCGCCGCTAGGAAACAGTACGCCTTAAAGTGGAAGCTTTTCACTTCATGGTGCTGACAGTGACTGCAAGACCCAATCAACTGCCCAATTGGTACAGTTCTGGAGTTTCTGCAGGAGAAATGCCCCCTTTGGACCCATAGAAGAATTTTCAGTCTAGTTGCTCATGCTCAAGATTATCTTTCTCCTCGCTATGTCCTCACTTAAAAGGATCGGGGATCTGCAGGCACTTTCTGTTTCGTGCCTGGAATTTGCTCCAGGCATGGTTAGGGCATTCCTTTACCCGAGGATCGGGTATGTCCCTAAGGTGCCCACTTCTTCGCCAGGGCCCATAGTACTTCAGGCAGTCTGTCCTCCTCTGTTCCAGGAAGTAGGCCAAGAAAAGCTTAATCTGCTCTGTCCAGTTAGAGCACTGGACGCTACGCACACAGAGCTGCCCCGTGGCGTAAGGCAGATTAGCTCCACGGCAATCCACGGCAATGTTCATATTTATAAAAACGCTCTTTGACGTGGAAAAGTACTTACCGCCACGTCAGGGTCTTAGCAGACGTACGCACTTTTCCTTGTGGCAAAGTCGGAG